GATAAATTATTTGTCATCTAATTGAATTTAAATTTGCTTAATTTCTTAATAACTATTTTAAATCTTGGGCTTATAAGTTACTAAAACCATGTTTCTGTAAGAGACTATCGCTTGAGAATACCAATTTTAAAATTCGGCTGCTTGCCTCAACTTTTGAACTTTAATACCATATGCGAATTTTAAAGTTTCATCTAAAAATAACAATCTTATTGAAAAACCTAGTTAAAAACTCTTAACCAAGTGAGATTTTATCCTAAAGTCTAGACACTATTCATATTTAATTTACTCAAAGCAAATCAAAAGGCAATAGCTTCCGCGGCAAAGAGGAATTGAAGACTGGAGCTAAGGGCAGCAGCGGACCATCTTCGAAGAATGAGGTCAAATTTTGGTGAGCGGCAGTGTCTATAAAATTGCAAGTTGTGTTTGACAAATAAATTCTTTTATTCGAATTTGAATTCTATAAATCTGCCAACGGTTCTAATTGGTATTTTAGCTGGATTAATCAATAAAAGCTGTACGCGTAAAAATGGAGGTCTTGCGTGTTTTTTACTTTGTTTTGGCTTAAATTACTACTATCATTCATCAAAAACAGAATTTAGATTTGAGTTAATGTGACTGTAATTATAAAGATATTAAATTCTTGCATCCAAGAAAAAGATTATTACACCCTAAAATCACCTAGCATCTCCGTTCATCAAATACAATTTATATATATTAAAAAAACTCATTAAAGAACATTATTTATTTAAGTCGTTCCCGACGAGAATTTGAAACATAATATTCATCTATAATAGAATCTAGATTTATTTTCTCAACAAGTTCTCTTTTTATAAAAAGTATCATATATAATCAGAAAAAAGTCATCCTTCATAATGTTGCAAAGTATCTTCTTCCTATGTTTCATTGTTGAAAATGCTTGCTGAGTACTTGTGGTAAAAATAGGCAATGTCAATATTACTAGACGAATCAATCTAGTCTCTACAATGAAAGTGTCAATATTACTAGACGAATCAATCTAGTCTCTACAATGAAAGTCTTCGACCTGACATTCTCAGTCAACTGTCTGCATAACTCAGCAAGTGTGGATACTTGAAATCAAGACTCACCCTTCATATCCAACTCATAATGTGGTAGCTCATATTCTAATGTAAATGTCATGCTTTGAAAAATCTCAAGGATAGAATTTCTTTACAAGTGTGCAAATTTTACGGGTGTCAAATGAGCTCAATGAATCTTTAGGATCTAAAGCTGCACCAAGAGAAAGTAGTTCTACCGATATGTCATTAAATCTTGTATATAAATCCATTGTCACAAAATCTATTGTTTCATTAAAAATATCATAGTGATAATAATGCTCAACTATAATTTCATTACTAGAATGACCAGTGTTAAACATACCTTCTAGATCAGGTATTATAATATCATTTCTTGAGCAAAACAATCTCACTTCTTGAAGAAATTATTTCCAATCGTCATCTCTCAATTTTTGAAGCAATTGTTTTGTGGTAGATACAAACCTCAAAGCAATCAAGATGTCTTGAGATCTTTTTTGAAGGGTTTGACGAAGAATACTGGTGATTCTCATTATTTTATGCATCAAATACAAGAAAAATATGAACTTAAAACTCACCAACTTTTTGTAAGCACCACGAGCTTCAGCTTGAGATCTAACATTTGAACAATAATCACAAATTTATTCAAGCACTTTGCGAGTTGCCCTATACATATGAACCATTTGATTGACCTCACTTTTAGATTCACACTCCCCAATAGTCAACATACGCTGATTTTCCTCTCTAGGAGAAGATTGCAACTTAATAACTCGTTTAAGAAAAGATGTAATAATATTGACAATCTTGTCCAAATGAGAAAAGAAGTTCCAAAAGCACATGGACTTCTTTAGCCGTAGAGACCAATGTCAACTGTAGTCGATGGGCAAAACAATGGTCATAGTATGTATATTGACAATATCTAAGAAATAATGCTTGAACTCAATTCCATATAGTGCGCATATTACTAGAACCATCATTCCCTCGTCCTCTCATTTTTTTCACGTGAAGTTCATGTTAAACAAAAACATTACATAATTTATTTTTTAGATTTGATGATGTGGTATCACTAACTCTTTTGATTGCAAAGAGATATTCAATCTAACTACCTTGACTATTCACAAATCTCAAGATAATGGCCGTCTACTCTCAGTAAGATGCATCTTGAGCTTCATCAACAAGAATGCAAAAGCATTCATTCCAACTTCCTCTCGAGTCATCCGTTGGACTCTATTGGCCATACAAATTTTTTAGAAAAGTTGAAGCAATGAATTGAGCATTTTGAGGTACATTTTCCAGGAAAAAAATTACTAATATATGCATTCAATTCTACTGCTTACTTTATTAGTTGTTAGAAAACTCCCACGATTAAGTGGAGATGGAGATTTATCAATACATCTAAACCCTAAACCTTGAAATGCTAGCCATCTAACACTTTTAATTGAAGTCATTATATGCAAATGATGTTTTCAAATTTACTCTCCAGATACAATATTCATCACCTTGTCAATATGCTGAGACAATCTGATTAGATCTTTAGCTCTAATCTCATGCAATTTATAATATGTTGAACTAACATGAACAAGAAATACCCATTTATTTCCATATTTACCCTCTTCTAATTATTATATCTTTCAATAACCAATACCGAATAGCCAAACGAATTACCATCTTTCTGAAAAGAGAAAGCAGTAAAAACAATATGCCCTTTCAATTGACGAAAAATCTTATCCAAACTAGGTACAATGTACAATACATTACATCCAAACCAAAGGTACAATATATTACAGCCAAATCGAAAGTA